TTTGGTTAAATCATTACTATGACTCTTAATACTGATTCTTAATAATTACTGAACATAGAGATCAGATATGCACTTAGGGCATTCCTAATGTATGGTTTATCTAACGGATCAAGTCCTTTAACAGGAGTTATATGCTCCTGATAAAGTTATGAATGATAAGTATGAACATCCATAATTTAATGAACCAACCATCCTTTTTAAACAATCCTTTATAAATCTTTTGGAAATACGGACTTTGGAAAAACAAACGACAAAAAAAATACAAGAAAAATCAGTTCTTTATCCAATTCAGATTATAGAACTTTATTGTCTGCATGTAATGGAAACGGGAAGAGAATATACGGTGCCGAGTATATGCAATATTAAAAACACTCAAAGTAATGGAAGGGAATATACATATGCATATTTATGACCCAGACACTTCTATTTTGTGTTCTTGTTTTATTTGTTAGGACAAAGAATAATGGTATAAGCTCGAAAATCGTTTTCGAAATAAAGCCGGAGCCCGTACGGCGGTGGACAATATTTTATGCGGCGGCGTCGTTACTGAATTACTGTTTCAATAAATAAAAAACATAACCGTTTTGGAACTGTAAGTTATGATTTTTTGCATGCACGCAATGTGATACTTAATAATTGAAATTTTAAGCCACCGTTTAATTATTCCAGTGTTTATAGGTTAAAAGTACACAGTATAAAATTATGAATTTCTATCAAGTTCATTATAATAACATAGTAAGAAGATAATGAAGAACTTAGCAGTTTTAAGCTAATATAATACCAATTTTAGATTTAATAGTAGTTTCCAGACAAATAAATTTTATGAATATACTAAATTAACATCTTACTTCAATATACAGAGTTGGGCAAAAGTCCGGAATAAAATTATTATCTTTTGAACCAGCAATTTAAACAAAAAACGCCGAAACACGTAAATTGATTTTATATTGTACGGATTTGTTGCCAATAAAATGATTTTTTTTTCTTCAACCCCTTAGTTGCAACCCTACCCAACTTTATTTTTTCAAATGCAAAGGTATGTCGTGTGTAGGGTCATTGAAAAGCCCGTGAAAAATGGAATCTAAAACATACCTTTTTTTTTATTTTTCTCATGTTGTTATTTGGAAATGAGCAAAAATTTCTTTTAAAAACAAAAAAGTTACAAATACCTTTTTAGTGCTATCGACGTAGCAATGTTGAAAATGCCCTTCACCATCTATTTGACAGGCTCCCAGGCATTGGTAAAACGTAATATCGATAGCATATCTTTAATTCTGAATGACTTTTTAATAAAAACAGGCGAACCTTTGGTAAAAAAAACTTATACAAAAATGCAACACCTGTTTTCCTTTTTGAAGTTCACTGATCAACAATGGCTTAGATTTAAACCCATTTTATGTTTTTGTTTTTTCTTAAAACATAAATTTCAACGAATGTTGATGCTAAATTGCCTTATCAGTTTTAAACGGTAAATCAATAAAATTTGGTGTACTGCCTGACCAGGCTCGCCTGCTTTTAATAAAAGTTCATTCAGAATTAAAGATAGGCTACCGATATTAGGTTTTACCATTGCCTTGGAGCCTGTTAAGTAGAGTAAGCCTTAATTCACACGTCGGTACCACTAAAAAAGTATTTGTAACATATTTGTTTTTAAAAGAATTTTTTGTCCATTTCCAAATAACAACATGAGAAAAATAAAAAAAAAGGTATGTTTTAGATTCCATTTTTCACGGGCTTTTCAATGACCCTACACACGACATACCTTTGCATTTGAAAAAATAAAGTTGGGTAGGGTTGCAACTAAGGGGTTGAAGAAAAAAAAATCATTTTATTGGCAACAAATCCGTCCAATATAAAATCAATTTACGTGTTTCAGCGTTTTTTGTTTAAATTACTGGTTTAACAGATAATAATTTTATTCCGGACTTTTGCCCAACCCTGTATAAGCAGTACAATGCGCTTTTTCTCGGATGCTTTTTATTAAGCGATAGTACAATAATTCTCCCAAATATTTTCTCTAATCCCCGCACGAGTTTTCTTTACTACGGTATGAATAAATTTTGTGATTTTTACAACCGAAATCAGGCTACTATTGGCCCACAGGGACTCATAAAAAATATTCGAGTTTCCTACGTTCGCAGAGCAGCCATCGCTGAAGTCCCAGTTTCCTATAAATAAGCAACGTAATTTCAATTGTTGCGTCGGATCCCGAAAGTTTTTCGAAAGCTACTTATGGAAATGAAGGCGTAAATAAAAAAATGTAATGAGAAACGAGAGCTTTTATCCCCGGCATCAGGAATATCCAGAGTATCCGAACTACCTTTTGCATGGAATATTGATTTTCCTCGAATATCGGTAGTATTCTCGAAAATTCCATTGTTTTGTGCGAGGTCACATTACGGAGTAAAATGTGAAATATCTTCTTATTTGTATAATTAGAGCACCGGTTTCCTGAAATCATATTTTTTCATGACAATTAAATTTTTAATTTGATAAAACAGATACAACATACAAATTTGATAAAACAACAACAAACAGATACATAAGTTATTTGTGAATTATTGGAAAAAAGATGTAAACCGAATTATTTTAGATGTTCATGTATGTCGAAGGAATCAAGGTTGCATATTAATCTTATACTAATTTCTATTTAAATTATAATCTTACTTTATTTTTTATGTTTAAGATTTTATGTTCGTGTAATCTAAGTTGTTTAATTTCCTAATTACGATCTCTATAATTAATAAGGTACTTCCAGCTCTCAAATATAATTTGCCAGTTTGCTTCCTGACCTCATTTTGTACATGCATTACCGCAATTTGATACATTCTCTCAAAGATAGAGTGGTTTACTTAGCCCTGTTCAATTAATTTAGAGTCAATTTATAAATATTTACTTACATAATATTAGTTTTTTTATGGATGCTAAATATTTATTAATATCAGGGTAGCTTAAATATTTTGTGAATGATTTATGAAATAAACGGTTACCAATATGAACGAAGCATGTAAATTCAAGCAAGTAAATACAGGTGATATCTACATCGTTGTTCAAATACCTGAAGGATCGAATCCAGTATCGTTTTCGTTCTTTTTATGACCGACGGCATCAATGTTATCGAATTAGTGAAGTGAAACAAAACGTCACCCGAAGCTCGAGAGCAAATATTGAATAATTCACTAAACCGTCCATCGATCTAACTGACCGTTTTCATTTTTTTTCTTTACCAAATACCTAATTGAATCCCTTTGGGGCTCTTATCGTTATATCGATCGATCGAGATGACCGTCCATGAACAAGATGGTGAACCAGATGAGATGGCTCCGAGCGACGATAGTGTGAGAGATAGGAAGCCGATCTTTCGCTAGTTATGTATTTAAAACGAAATTAATTCGACGGCATTTAATTTTAGGCTCGCCAGAGATATTTAAACGGCTTCTCTTATGCATGCAAAAACTCGTTAAAGTGGAAATTAATCTTCGGTGCTATCTACATAAGATTTTTTCTCGCAGTTTTTTTTAATTGCGAATTTGTAATTTGTTTACAGTACGTATAACGCATATTAAATAATAATTTCAATCAACGTAAAGTTGAAAATGCTTGAGTACTTGATGAAGTATCGAAAAATGTTGGATAGACGTTGGATTTACGAATAGATTTATAAAATATATTTGACAAGTGGAGAGAATAATATAAATTACTATTAGCAATAAAAGTGCACAAAGGCGTGTCACTTCCTAGATAAATCTTTATTCGCGTACTTACTACAAAACAAAAAAAAATCAACCACTCACGTTACCATATGTACCTACAGAACAAAGAATAACTATACACCTACGAAGAATCGCCAGCGCGGCGCATCGCCATTATAATACGAAACCCGAAAAATCATAACGACCGGTATAAATCTGCCTAAAGGCATGCACAACGTTCGTACGGTGTGTCGAACGAGATAAAAGGAAGAAAACGACAGCTGCACATGAACTCCACACGCACCTATGACCATTACTCGAGGGTAAATCGTCGACGTTAGACGGTCTTATGCAAGGACGTCATGCCATCGCACTTTTGTTGCATAGCTCTGTTGTCATGACCTTTACAAAAACTTTTATTTTTTTTTTAATTAAAAAGTACGTTTGGTGATAGGGAAGGTAGACACGGTAAAAAGTACGTAATTGCTACGTAAATGCTATCCAAGGTTATCAGAACGTTGTGGAATTATTTCGAGTGCATCAGTTCTATTAGAATATGTCAATACTTTCCAAATATTACCTACTAGCACTACGATTCAACCGAAGCAAAAGAAGCAGCTTCGCGAAAAAATTATCCGCAACTAGCCATAGTTGTGGTTCGATCCTTACAAAAAATAGAGGATCAATGAGGACTACGAAGATATACTCTTTATCATCGTCAATTTCGTTAATTCCGTCGAACGCGCCCTATAAATAGATAAATTCTTGCATTGTGGCACCGGACTATGGGGAGAAGGACCCGAAGGGGGCACAGGTCACGCTGCCGAAGTCCACCCGCACACCTCGAGTTCTCACGCCGATCAAGACACCGAACGTCAGGTGCTTGGCTCGCAGCGAGAGTCATTTGTTTCGCTTTTCGAAACGTTGCATTCGAATAGCATAATGAATAAAGTACGACTTACGAGGAATTCGAAAATTATTTGTAAATTGTTAGGTTGTCGCATACGAGACATGTGCTTCGTAAATTTTATTGCCTCGGATTGGCTACGGGTTGATAGAAGTATAGAGGTTTCAGAAACTATGGAATTGTGGATTTATTGGGGTGGTCGAAGGTGATTCCCTAAATTTATATCTCACTGTGGATAATTAAGCAAATTGAAACAACAATGAGCGCAAAATTAATTTATCTAATAAATTTAATCTTTTCATGTACGAAAGTGATAAGATCAAAAAAATTGAAGCACCGTTTTAACGATAATTGTTTAATTGTAAAAATTTTATGTCTGTAGTTTTGATGTACATACTTTCTTTGTTTTAAAATGTGGACTAAGTTATTTTATATTTTAGCAACTTTTCAAATAATATTTGGTAAGATTACTATTTAGACTAGTTTCCACTGTGTAATCTACGTTTTTATATACATATAACATCATAATCATACGAGTATTACATAATTAGCAAAACATGGTTTTGGGCCAACGGATCAAGATTGGGGGCATATAGCCGCAAGGGATGGAGCTTACATATTTTGGTGGCTCCACTACACCACCGCAAATGTAACTAATTACGCTGATAAACCACTCATAATATGGCTACAGGGAGGCCCCGGTAGTTCTTCCACTGGTTACGGAAATTTCGCTGAACTGGGGCCTCTTGATGTTGATTTAAAACCTAGAGGTACCAGTTGGGTACAATGGGCCAATATTTTATTTGTAGATAACCCCGTTGGAACTGGTAAGTACCAATAGTTCGTATTAATTCAATAATTCTATAATAACTGTCTAATACTCTTCAATAATTCTTCATGTTGGAAATTGTTAGTATTAGGCACTTGATGAGGGGCCCCACCAAAAATTTAAAAGACCGAAACGTAGAATCATAATTATTTCAGGTTTTGGATATGTTGAAGACAATTCGTTACTTGCAAAAAGCAACACCGAAATTGCCAAAGATTTTTTGGTTTTCTTAAAGGGATTTCTGGATAAAGTTCCGATATTTAAGGGCGTTCCTATGTACATATTTTGCGAATCTTATGGTGGTAAAATGACAGCCGAAATCGCTCTAATTATTGATGAAGTACGAAGAACTGCTAAGTCTCTTTAAATTAAAATTTTACATCAATTAACAAAAATGTAGATCAATATTTACCTAATTTTAACTCATTGAAAAGGCATTCTTTAACACTTTTAAATTTTAGGCTAGAAGAAAGAATGAAATTGACGCTAATTTAAAAGGAATCGGTTTAGGTGATTCCTGGATATCTTCAGGAGATTCGATCTTAGGTTATGCTCCTTTTTTATACAGCTTGGTAAGTAACTCCCAGCTAATATTAAGTACATTAGGTAGATTTCTTAATATTCTTATTCGGACTTACAGGGCAGAATAGATAAAGATGGTTACAACCAAATTATAAAAGTAGCAAAGGAAATTAAATCGTATCTTAATAAAAACGAGTCACTTGATGCGGAACAACTATGGGGCACAGTAAATGAAGCTGTATTTGATAGCACATACGGAATTGATTCTTACAATATTCTTACTAAAATAGCACCAGAAACTGCCGGAAAGAATTGTTAGTACATTAACTAAGGACATTGGAACATTACAGATAGGTATATTTAATAAATTTAATTTGATTCAGATTTATCTAGAGGCGGTTTGTACCATTTAACAGATGATGAGGAAACTAAATTATTGGCCGTTATGAATGATAAAGTAAAACCAGCATTAAATTTAACGCAAACGTGGTCAGACGGAAATGGAGAGATATATCAAGCGTTGATTTCAGATTTCATGAGTCCAGTCACGACAATCGTAGAAAGGCTTTTGAATGAAACAGATATGACAGTTGCAGTTTATAACGGACAATTGGATTTCATTGTTGATACGCCAGGTTTGATTTAGATACGATTAGCCTTATTTTATTTCCTGTTTCAAAAGCAACTGGGCATGCCACTGAACTATTATCAATCGGCATTGTTTTATTTCAATTTGACTTATACCGAGAAGTTTTTGTTCGAATTCATAAACTAATTTCTACCGTAGGAACATACAGTTGGGTCGAAAACCTTCATTTTGATGGAAAACAGTTGTGGGAAGCAGCAAGTCGAAATGGTTTTGATGTGAATGGTTATTATGAAGGATACGTAAAGAAATATGGAAAATTTGCATTTTATTGGGTAGATCGCGCCGGACATATGGTTAGGTTTCAATTGTTTTCTATAATATTTATGTCGGCTAATGTTGATTATTTTCAGGTGCCCAAAGATAATCCTTCTGCCATGTATTACATATTGAAGGATGTAACAAACAATTTTAAAATATAGATTAGGTACATTCCTAAAATACAATGATGCATTTATTGTAGAAATCTTATCAATCTTTAGATATTAGATACTAAATATTGATTGTTCTTAATATTGTTTTTTCCTGCACACACTCTTATGCAAAAACTGTTTGTTCTATTCATTTTTTTAAATCTATGAATGAAATACTACTACTAATTTAATAGAATAAGTTTTTACTTACTATTAAACACGTTAAGTACAAATAAAAATGAAAGATTTAAAACGATTTGGCTTGCTTGGCTTAGCGGACGATGAGGAAACTAAATTATCCTCTATTATGAATAATCAAGTGAAATCTGCTTTGACTTTAATGTAAACATGGTCAGACGGAGCATGGTAATATACAAAGCACTGATTTCGGATTTCATGAGATCCGTCACGGCAATAATAGAAAGACTTATAAATGAAACTGATGTTAATGTTGCAGTTTATAATGGCCAATTAGATCTGATTGCTGACGTACCAGGTTGGATTCACAAATAATTGCATTGTTACTCTTTTAGTTGGATTTTCCCAACGATTCTCTATAGCTTTTCCTTTAAGGAACGTATAATTGGATTGAAAAAACTCAATTTTAGGGATAAAATATTGTGGATTGCTGCAAGTTAAAGAGAGAATGTTATTAATTAGTACGAAGAGTATGTGAAAAAATATGGAATATTAGCACTAAATTTTACTTTACATAAATACATATGTATAAAAGTATTAATTTTTTGTAGGTTCCTATAGATAATCACTCCACTCCGCTGTGTGTTAGACGCATATGTAGGTGCTAAAAGATTTTACAATTAATTTTGAAAAATTTATTATATTTGCACAATAAATCGAAATTTGTATTTCACACAGTCTCAAAATTATAACAGGAAATTCCACAAATGTATCCTGATTTATTATTTAAAAAATACATTTTTCAATAGCCTGATAAGATTAGAATACAAAATGTAATAAATAGATTAATCGATATTATTTCTTAAGTAGTTTGCAATCATCCCAACGGTGAAGGTAAATTTCTATACAATGTGGTGCAAGTTTTTTGTTGTTTTGGTAATTTTTCAAGTAGCGTATGGTAAGGTTGCAACGTTACTAAAATGCACTTTTTGTTAAACTAATTAATATTTATTAGCTAAACATGGATTCGGTCCTACTGACCAAGATTGGGGACACGTTGCTGTAAGAAGCGAGGCTTATATATTTTGGTGGCTTCATTACACTACAGCAAATGTGACTAAGTACACAGATAGGCCACTTATCATATGGTTACAAGGGGGTCCAGGGGGTTCCTCCACTGGTTACGGAAATTTTGTTGAATTGGGCCCATTAGATTTAGATTTACAACCAAGAAACACTTCGTGGGTTCAATGGGCTAATATTTTGTTTGTCGATAACCCCGTGGGAACTGGTAAATATATTTACATATTTCTATTATTAGACTTATTATCTTTTTTATAGTGAATATTGTTAACGTAATCTGATTATGTCATAATCGGATGGTATTTTATTTTGTAGGTCATGAAATTTTGTAGGTGTTTTATCGTTTTGTAGTTTTATCGATATGAATTGGATTGTCATTGTTGTATTGTAGATATTTATTTTTGGTGTTAATAGTAGTTGTAGATAACATAAAACGAACTAAAAGAATAGCTAAAACTTAAAACGTTTAGAAAAAAATTTCATGTAACTAAAATTTTAGGATTTTCTTATGTCGAAAATAATGAAAAACTTACAAGAAATAATACTGAAATTGCCAACGATTTCTTGGTATTTTGGAGAGAGTTTCTTGAAAAAATACCTGATTTCAAGAAAGTGCCTACTTACATATTTTGCGAATCTTATGGAGGTAAAATGACAGCGGAAATCGCTTTAGTGATTGACCAAGTAAGTTCTAATCATCTAAGCATTTAATCACTACACGGAGTGATTTAATCACTAATCCAACTATTTTAGGCTAGAAAAAGTGGTAAAATTGAAACTAATTTAAAAGGAGTCGCTTTAGGCGACTCTTGGATATCCCCTGTAGATTCCATTTTGGGTTATGCTCCATACCTATTCAGTTTAGTAAGTGATCTTTTTCTGAATGTTTTATTAATTTTTGTTTAAATTTATGAATTTCATTATAGGGACAAATAGACAAACGTGGTTACAATAACATTATGAAAGTAGCGAACCAAATTAAAGCAGATTTGGACAGAGGAGATGCACCTAGTGCATCAGAATTGTGGGATACTGTAGATGAGAAAATTTTTGAAAATACGTACGGTGTGGATATGTATAACATTCTTACAAAAATACAAGGTGAATCAAAAGGAAATCGTAAGTACCATTGTTCTTTGCAATCCATCTTGAATAAAGAAATACATGCAATTCAATGTCATCGTTCAAAGGTCCATTTTTTTAAATTTTTAGGTAAAGTTCGAATTGGCTTATCTTTAAAAGACGATGATGATGACACACTGGATAATATTATGAACAATAAAGTAGGGCCTGCATTAGGACTATCACAACATTGGACATCAGAAAATTCTGATGTATTTAATGCATTGTTTGCGGATTTCATGAATCCCGTAACGACAATAGTAGAGAGACTTCTGAATGAAACTGATATCACGGTTGCAGTTTACAATGGGCAGTTGGATTTAATAGTAGAAACGCCAGGTTTGTTTCAAATTTATTACGTAATAACTTTAATAACCAGTATACTGTTTAATTTAATTTTTTTGTAGGGACTTACAAGTGGGTCGAAGATCTCCATTTTAAGGACAAATCATTATGGGAAGCTGCATCCAGATCTGGATTTGCTGTCAATGGATATTATGAAGGCTACAGGAAAAAGCATGGAAAATTTAGCTTTTATTGGGTTGATCGTGCCGGACATATGGTGAGAAAAATTTTCCCGTGTATAATTCTTATCTAATTGGTTTAATAAAACATTGTTCTAGGTTCCTAAGGATAATCCATCGGCAATGTACTACATTTTAAATGATGTTACCAACAATTTTGAAGTTTAAAAAGAATTTTTAATGAACGATTATTATAATCGATTAATCGATTGAATTTAATAAAACTTTTCGCTTTAATCCTTTGTTTTGTTCTAGAACTTTATACCTAATCAACTAACCTACTAATCCACAATTTTTTACTTATTCAAAAATTTGCAATTATGTACTTAATCTAAAAAAAATAAATATTATCGAGAAAATAAAATTTATTTTCTAAGAGATAAAATTATGAATGTGAATATTCTAAAGTAATCTCAGGTGCACGACAGTAAATTCACTAATATACAAATAATTATAGTACCTACTACATACCAATACATGTCATTACCTATGCAGAGGTAAAAATGTTGTTCAAATCGTTATTACTGTTATTATGTGGTCAATTACTAATTGGTAAGCCGATAACTTTTGCTGTTAGTCTAAATTCGGAAATAATTAACCATTTTTCTTAGCTAAACCGGGTTTTGGACCAACGGATCAAGACTGGGGCTATGAAGCCGTAAGGCAACAGGCCTATTTATTCTGGTGGCTTCATTACACGACGGCTAATGTTAGCAAGTACACCGACAGGCCATTGATAATATGGTTGCAAGGTGGCCCAGGAGCTTCATCTACTGGGTATGGATACTTCGGGGAGTTGGGACCTCTTGATGCAACTTTAAAGCCCAGAAATAGTACCTGGGTGAAATGGGCCAACGTTATGTTTGTGGACAATCCAGTTGGATCTGGTAAATTTTGGTAAATAAATGGTAGAAAATTCGATGCAATTAATACTTTTTTAAGGATTTGGATATGTCAACCATAATAAACAGCTTACAAGAAATAACACACAAATCGCCAATGATTTTTTGGTTTTTTTAAAAAAATTCCTACAAAAACATCCTGAATTTAAAAGGGTACCTTTATACATCTTCTGCGAGTCGTACGGAGGAAAAATGACTGCCGAAATAGCTTTAGTTATACACCAAGTAAGCATTTATTATCCGATATTTAGTCTATTTAATTATATTTGAATACTACCTAGATATTTCTATTACAAAAAGCTTTGTATTAATCAAATAATGAAACTAGAAGTAAAGTCGTAGTTAGTATTATCATCATTTCTCTTCCCTACAGACACAAACTTAATTATTTTTTCAGGCTAGAAAGAATGGCAAAATTGAAGTCAATTTAAAAGGTATTGCCTTAGGTGATTCATGGATATCCCCAGTTAATTCTATATTAGATTACGCTCCGTATCTATTAAGTGTAGTAAGTAGTTCTTCCCTTTAATGCAAAGAATCTTCTTGATGAATATTAAGCATCTTTATAACGACTGGTTTTAGGGACAAATAGATAAAATGGGTTACGATCGTATAATGAAAGTAGCAAATAGAGTTAAAATGGCTCTGGATAAAGGCGATTCCAAAACAGCTGGACAACTATGGAGTGAAATCATTCAAGCAATAGAAGATAATACATACGGTCTCAATATGTATAATATTCTTCAAAAAATATCTCCATATAGGAGCAAATTATACCGTAAGTAGTTAGTGTAATTACTTGGATACATTTTTACATGAAGTTATTAGGTACACTTAAGTACTCTTAGGTAGGAATGCAAATTAGTGCTTCAGAGTTATTGTTTTCAGATTATTTTTTTTAGAGTTACAGAATGAAGAAGAAATTTATAATATGACGTATCATGATGTAGTTTTGAATGAAATTATGAACGAAAAAGTAAAACCTGCATTGAACATTTCAAGTACATGGACGAGTGTAAATTTAAACGTATTCAATGCTCTGTGTTCGGATTTCATGAACCCCGTCACAAATATCGTAGAACGAATATTAAACGAAACAGATATCACTGTCGCAGTTTATAATGGCCAATTGGACTTAATTGTAAATACACTAGGTGAAACAATTATAATGTATTTCATATAATCAAAAACATTTTCATAAAAATCAATTAATAATAATTACCTATTGAGTATTGAGAGTTCAACTTAGTTCAAACAGCATCATCAATGTTATCAGAAATCTGGTGCATTTAGTTTTTTTTAAGGAATTGGAATGGTTAAATTTTTTCGAATTGTATAATGTTAGAGTAAACAGCATCTTTAGGTACTTTTTAACAATGCAAAACCCAATTTTCAACTTTTAGTTTATTTTTTTGTAGGAACAAATGAATGGGTCAATAACCTCCACTTTACTGACAAAGCATTGTGGGATGCTGCCCCTCGAAACGGTTTTGCCACTAATACATATTACCAGGGATATGTAAAAAAATATGGAAAATTTGCATTTTACTGGGTAGATCGTTCCGGACATATGGTACAAAATGTCACATTCTTATAAAATAGTACATTTATTTAAATTTATATTGCAGGTACCTGAGGACAACCCTTCTGCTATGCATTACATATTAAAAGATGTTACCAATAATTTCAAAGTCTAAGGTATTAAAAAATAAAACAAAAATCATCCAAACTAGTACAATACCGACATAATCTTCTAGACAAACCCTAAATGCCCCGAATCTCTTTTCACTATTTCCTCTCCTTCCATGCCAACTTCCATTAAAGGATTATAAAGTTCACTTCAACTCTTGACAGATTTCGTCAGGGCACAGATTGGGACTTTGGGAATCGCCCGATTTTCCCCCTTTTCCTTTTGTCTGTCAAAATTAATATTAGCGGCTCGTCAGACTCGTTTCCCCTCTTTGATCGGTTAATGTTTTAATCCTGTTACTGTCAGGTTCATCCCCTCGGCTTTGTTGTTCGTTCGGTCGTTCGTTTCGGTAGTGGTCAGTTTCTACATGTACGACATGGACGCTACCAGTCAATGCTCGTCAAAAATTGATATTACAATAAATGAACACTTAATGGTATTTGGTCATTGAACTACAATTTTTTTCGCCGCTCCGTTAAAACGAAAATATACTATATTAAACTGCCTGAACTTTTCGTTGCTGTATTTAAAAGTTAATCGAAATTTGATTGAATTTCGTACGTGCATAGTTTATACTTTGCATCTACAGGTAGGTAATTAAAAAGGTTGTTGTAATTTTAATTTATTATACCTACTAGCGTGGAGGGAGCCTGTTAAATATTAAACGCGAAAAAATAATTAAGAAATACGATCAGTACGGATAGTTTGAATATTCAATTAAACATTGAAAACATTTAAATCCCTGTAAAACGCATTTCGGAATTAAATAATAATTTCCGGATTCCATTTAAATTAGAATCAGTTTTAAAAAGGCTTTATGTTTAAATTGGTAGAAAGCCAATTTTAATGAATTGTTTTGCACAGGATTGTCTCTTTCAATTTCATAAATGCTGCTCTTCAATTTAGATTACATATCAATTAGATAAAAAAATTAATTAAAAAAGGATTCAAATTATTTCTCTATTATAATAAACATTCAATGTACATACATACATATGTATACATACATATTGTAGCTTCTTCAACTTGCCAAGTTGTAGCTCTATTATGTCCTACAAATTACCAAGTGATAAAAATTATTTTTTATATAACTTTGGTTGTAATTTATATTTTTTACTGAAGCTAATTAAAAATAATATTCTTATTTGCATATACTGAAATATTAAAATTTTATTACTTTATTATTGCCTATTCGCTCTTAAATTTTAATGACATCTTATGACATCTTGCATAAAATGAAAGAATATTGACTTTATAACTATACTTATTGGAAATCATACGTTGGAATTGAATACTTGTGTACTATTATCGATAAAATGAATCTTCAGTTCAGAATAGTGTACTAACATCTTAAAAACATTATTATTCGATAAATTTGACAAACAATACAAGGGTCAAACAATTATTTGCCTCTTTAAAATAATTAAAAAAACATTTTGATATAAAGGACTTCACCAACATTTCTCTTGTGGCGCAACAAAGATCGCAACTTTACTTAGTTCCCTTTAAAGCAAAACACCAGCACCAGATCCCTCGTAATTATTTATTATAAATTACAATTACAAAAACCTGCCCGACCCTCGTAGATGCATACGCAGTAAATTCACAACGGGTTATGAGTTTATGCCTCGTCGTTTAACTGCAAACGCGGTTTCGTAGAGACGGCGACCAGTATGGTAATGATCGTAATTTGCATATGAAGACAGCTATCATAGAGGTGTTGCGCCGTAAGAGACAACGCGCTTGTCATATTCATTATTGTTAAAGGTAATAGATGACTAAACGTTGCTGAATTTTTGCTTATTATTTTCTTTCATACTCTTCGGCCAATTAAAAAACAGCGTAAAAATAAAAATGACCACATTCTTACACATATAGGGTGTTGCAAAACTAAAAGCACTTATTTTCTAAACCATTAATTTCAAGAGAGTTACACTCCAATTTAAAAAAATGGCCGAAGCCGAAGCCATATTATTATTATATTTAAGAAATGGGACATATTCATGAATTATTCATAAATCGCCCGATTGAAGTGTTACCCGTACGCGAATATCGAATATTTTCTTTTGGAAAAATATAAATCACGCTCCAAAGTAACCCCGAAGCAAATCATTTGATGAAAATGTCCTCGGGCCTGTGCATAGATTACACTGGTGTTATTGATTCGAATTTTTGAGAGCATCGCGATAAATTGAAAGCCTCCTGCTAGTTTTTCACTGTCCGGAAGAATTGGTCTCTAGAGGGCGATATACCGTGTTCTTGGTGCATTTTCAAATCAAGTCCGCAGTACAGTGAGTGAGAAGATAGGTAACTTTATAAATTAAGAGTAGACCGAAAATAATGGAGAGAATTCGATTTAAATTCTAAATAAATTGGGTTACCTGTATTTGCTTTCGTTGTTATTAAATCTGCAACAAAAGTTTTTTTTTCGGAAATGGAAAAGCAAATTATGTACCTACTGCTATGTTTGACAAATATTTCTCATACAAGATAAATAAAATGTACACCGTTTTGCATTTTCAATACACAGGCAGATAATTTACACTACCATGTAGTGGATTTTCCAAACAACTGGGTGAAATTTAAAATTTTAATTTCAACTAAAGTT